TCCCTGCAGTAGCTGTGGCAGAACTTGATGAGACCCTTCTCCCATTGCTCCACCTTCACCTGCTTCTTCGCCTTCCGCAGCAGACGTATGTGTAGGTCCAGCAGCAAGGGGGATACTGTGTAAATAAAGGAAAGGCAAAAGTTATTTTAAAAGGATATAAGGGGAGCATGGTTGAGTCATTGGTGGGTCAAGCAACCAATCCTTTAAATTCCAAGGTATTCAAGCCCAAGGGTGAGAGTCTTCAAAACATTAGCTAGATTAGTCACATGCCTTGATCTGAACTGGTTGTACATCTAATTTCAATTTCACTTAGAAATACCCATAATGCAAATGTGCTTTGCAACTAAGCTAGGTAGATTAGGGAATGCAATACAGTGAGACTTTATGCAAAAAAAAAAGTTTTAACCTGTAGACGTACATGAGACTAGTTTATCGATGTCTGACCTCGTACCATTAAATCGGTTTTACCGATTTTACCGATTTACGTTAGTCCCAGATGGAATGTAACGTAACGAAGTAGTAACAGAGACCTAATTGATTACACAATTCCAAGGTGTATGTCAAAACCACTTGGAATTGGACAGCAATGGCTCATACTTCAAAACAAGGAGCATGAGCACTTCATCCCCATATGCATTGATTTTGTACCATACATTAGCCATGAGATATAGAGAAAACATAGCAGAAATACTTGCAAGACTGTATCAGCACTGATATGGTTGTGACAACCTTGGAACTGAAGGATTAAAGGTAAAAGAAATGAAAGGGGAAGGTTCTAATTTGATGTTAGGCGTACGACATGCAGAGGGTGAAAACTCCAGGCTAATCCATGGTAAGACCAGGACTCTGACAATGGACTTCCAACTAGTAAAAGCAGTCTTTGTTCGTGTGACTAGCCAGTTCAGTGTAGATGCATTTTCACATGGTTTCATTCCTATTCATACACCAACTAACATCAACTACAAACTCTTCAGCCATATATATGCAGCTAGCCTGGGCCAATCCAAACCCATCATTACATTACTTCATTTGGCTTCGTCCCACACTAATGAAATGTTACCATGGCCATACCAGGACCTGATTATACTAAGCCTACTGCCTAACCAAGACACCTGACTGATTATTAGACAGGACAGTATCTAGGCTTAGCTTTAGGCATATCTAAATAGACATAATTTTACATCGGGCCGAGCCAAGCCTAGCAGAAATGGTCACAGCCATCAATTGAATTTGGAGCTGCTGTAACCTAGGATACTTTTACATCTAATATGATAATTGTTGGAACTAAAGTTGAAGTACCATGAGAGCAAAGTTAAGGAATACAGGTTCAGCCAAACGGGCTAATATTGATGGGGACAACTCCATATAACAAGTATTCTGAGATACAGCAAAGAGCAACACAAGCTTAAAGTGCTGAGATAGGGTCTCATGTTTGACCTAAAATTTAAACTAAGGCCCAATGGCCACTGCCATTTATCATATCTGCATTTCAGATATATATCCTCTGTGTATGACAGATCTCATTAACACCATGTTCCTGCATCTGCTTCCCTACATGTCCTCACCCTATCCTGTGTGCCTAGGCCAACAATGACTGGCAAATGAACAAGTACCATACTTAAAAACATGTCTAACACTATCCATACTACAGGGAGGCTAGGTTTAGGGCGCCCTGGATCCAGTTCTATCCAGGGGAACATACCTAATTCTTACTCTGTATCTCCACCATTTGCCTTTCCTTTAATGGCAAGAACCTAGCAGCATGAAAGTTTAGGACTCATGCAACAATTTTTTGGGTTACTTCCCCATCCACATACTCACTATATGCCCTTTTTATTTTAAACATTCATGAGCATTTCAAGGAACTTAGAGGCAAAACAATCAACTGTGAAATGATGAGCTCTGCAGGGGTGGGATCACGGAAAGTGAAACATGACAACACAGCCTGATTATAGCAAGTCACTAGCTGGCGTTTTAGGTCTCTCTTAAAATAAATGAGAAGTCAATCGATTGTAAGTAGAAATCCATATGCATTTCTGGGTATGATCGGCTGAGGCACTAATTACGTATTAGAACTCAACACTACTTTCTGGTCCTTCCATTACTTCCAACTATCTTTTCTTATCCTCTTGGAGTACCACAACACTCATGAATGCTTAATGCCAGTATGATGATGAAGAGGAACGCGCCGAATAACCAACGTATGCCATCTCAATTAAGCCTAGGCCTATCTACGCCGATGCTAAGCCACGTGAAACCGACAGCCGCTTAACATATACACACCATCATTGGTATCCTGAAGCATCAAACTGAGCTCATCGATCGCGGGGTAGTCGATCCCACAGGCCTCGCCAAACTGGTCTAAGAAGCTGCAGATGACGGCAAAATTGGGATCGTTCTCGCAAAGCTCCGGAGGCGGGGGATTGAGCCCCACGGAAGCCATTTTGGAATTGGGGCATCTGCGTTGGTTCGCCACGCTCGCAAGAGATGGCAGCACATGCTCCGGCCACCGTCCGAATGCATTCATTCCAGGAAAATGCTCGTAAATGCTTGTTTTTTCCTAACTGATTCGAAAGCAATCGTCATTCCACTTGCAAAACCTCAGTATCTAACCGTCACCTTCTTGTGACAGGCCAGGAGTCAAGCGCCTTCATTATCCCCATGCCCC